TACAGGACAAAATAGTCTCCCATTTGACAGTTACTACAAATGGTGCCCTATGACAATGGTTAACAATCTCACAACACATCAACAATATCCTTACTCTATTTTGTGTTCCCTATCATCAGCTTCCTACTCCACAGGGGGGCTTTAAGCCCAAAAGAGATGAGAGATGTGATCAAGTTTGCATTTTAGGGAGAGCCCTCTGGCTACTTCGTTAAGAAGGGGGTCAGGAAGTCAGGAGGCAGCAGTGTGGGCCGGGAGAAGGCTTTGTGTCCCCCAAACCTGTGGCAGCTAGATGGGCCCTCCTAGACACGATTCCTGGGGTGGTTAGGATCATCTGCCCAGCAGCTGTGGGTCCAGGCTGGCCAGAGGTACCCTGGGCCCCTTCATCCTCTGGGGGACTGGTGCAGCCACTGTTGGGCAAGCTGACATCTGCAAGGGTGGATGTCAGGTGTCAGAAATGGTTTCTGAAAGGAAGCAGGATTCTTCTTCTCAGACAACGCCTGTGGAAGACAAGTCAGACCCCCCAGAGGGGTCTGAGGAAGCCGCAGAGCCCGGAACTGACACATCAGAAGGTGAGGGAGGGAGGCTGCTGGCCCTTCAGCTGGGACAGGTGGGCGCAGTGCCGTTGGGTAGCAGAGGCGCATCTGGGAGGCAGGTGGACTAACCTTCCCCTCTCGGGTCAGGGATGGGATGGTGTGTGTGTGGGTGAGCCCAGGTCTCATTTCCTGGAGCTCTTAAGTGTTCAACCCAGCATCCATGCTTATCCATCTGCCCTCTATTCCAGGTCAAGAGTCCCCCCACTGCCCAGATGGCATCACTAAGGAGAAATGCACCCCAGCCTCAGAGCCGGAGCCTTGTGAGGCATCGCAGCCACCAGCCAAGAGGTTGAAAAGGTAACTGATGCTGAAAACCTGCCCGGGGCTCAGGTGCCCTGTACTGTCATTCCTGCAAAGGGAGCGGGGCAGGACCCTTTAGAACCTTAGCCTCTGGCTTTCAGGAAGGTCCAACCTAATTCTGCACCTTATCTAGGAGGTCCCCAGGCCGACCCTGGGGTCTTCACTGTGACTGAGCCCCACCTGGAGGCTAGGCCAAGGGGCCAGTTGGAAGGGTGGAGATGTGCATCTGGGACCCCAGAGAGTAGGCAGAGGGTGGGCAGGCTTACAGGGCTTTGGGTACATATTAGCAAGTTGTGGGGGTATTGTGAGTCCCCAACTTACTTACATGCAACTGAGGCTCAGAGAGGTGAAGGTGCTTGTCCAGCTCATAAGTGGTAAAGTGAGTATTGGAAACCAGGTCTCGGCCTTTCTTGGGAGCTTCCACTGGGCCTCTGGGAAGACATGAATTTGATTTTTCTTGGTTCTTCCTAGCTCAGAGGAGCCTGCAGAGAAGGGGCCTCCAGGGAAGCTGCAGGCGAAGGTTCAGCCACAGGCTGGGATGACAGTACCGAAGCAGACACAGACGCCTGACCTGCTGCCTGAGTCTCCAGAAGCCTGTGTGCCACCACGATTCCCACCACGGGTTCTGCAGATCCAGGCCCAGGTGCAGCCACAGACTCAGCTACAGATGCCCCAAATGGATGCCCAGGTGCAGCCAAAGCTGCAGAAGCAGGCACAAACACAGACCTATCCAGAGCACTCAGTGCCTCAGCAGAAGCAGGTGCAGCCACAGGTGCAGCCACAGGCACCTTCACAGCCCTCAAAGCAGGCACAGCTGCAGAAGCAGGCACAGACACAGACGTACCCACAGGCACAGACCCAGCTGCAGACACAAGCACGGCCAAGGGTCCAGCCCCTGGAACAGCCACGGGAGCAGCAACTTGAGCAGCCTCCAGTGCAGTTGCCACCGGAGCAGACCCAGGGGCAGCCTCAGACCCAGCCACAGGTGTTGATGCCAGCGGAGCAAGCACTGGTTCTAGATCATGGCACGGTGCTGGACACACTGCCTGATATGGTAGAAGCTGGGGGAGGTAAGTGAGCTCTGGCTCCCCACCCAACCCCCATGATGGAGCAGGTCTGCCAGGACCCTTTGTTCCTCCCTGATATTTTCTGACTCTGGGACAGCCTGAGACTGAGGTCTGGGCCTGGAACCAGGATCTGGCTGTCCACATTGGAGGCTTGAAACTCCTAGCTGTGGGCAGAGAAGGCAGCTTTTGGGCTCGGGTCTCTCTGGACCTAGGGTGGGAGATGGACTCTGGGGAACAGAGAACATCTGTCATTTCAGGCCTGGAGGAGGCCTCGCTGGGGCCAGTGGATGCCCAGGTCAGCATGGAGGAGAGCCAGGAGGAATCTGCCAGCAGCCTGGATGTGGGAGAATGTGAAAAAAGAGCTGGAGAGATGCTCAGGGTGGGTGGAGACATTCATGTGGCAGCTGGGAGTCCAGCCTGGGCACTGGGGAGGACTTGAGGGCCCCAGAACCCAGCAGTGCGATAGACCACCTTAGGGCCCCCTCCTGTTTCTCCCATCTGTGAAATGGGATGGCAGCCCTCCCACCTGGGGTGCTTAGGCAGACCAGACTGAATTCGATAGTGTTTGTCCAGCACTAGGGGTGACTCCATAAGCACCTGGTTGGTGTAGCTCTGTTCCTGCTTCTGGTACAGGTGTGGGGTGCTGGGGGCTCCCTGAAGGTCACCATCCTGCAGAGCAGTGACAGCCGGGCCTTTAGCACTGTACCCCTGACTCCTGCACCCCGTCCCAGCGACTCCGTGTCCACCACTGCCGCCGCCAGCAGCACGCCTTCCAAGCAGGCCCTTCAGTTCTTCTGCTATATCTGCAAGGCCAGTTGCACCAGTCAGCAGGTACTGCACCCCTAAGCCCCAGGTGGGTGGGTGGGTGGGTGGGGCAGAGGGTGGGGTCTATATGGAATGCCCAGCCTGCCCCTTCTGTAGCTATCTGAGTAGCCCTGCCCTTGGAAGTTGTTCATTTCCTCAGAAGACATTTCCTGACCAGTCAAGAATGTAGGATTTTAGAGCCAGGCAGACCTCGTTCAAATCCAGGTGGGCCTCTGACCAGATGTGTGGGCCTTGTCACAGTTTCCTCATAAAGTCAGATGAAGAGACATTTAGAACCCACCTTATCAGGTGGTTCTGACGATTCAGGAATTTGACATTGAAATCACGAGCCCCAGGCCCGGTCCAGAGTGAGCGTTCACATGGAGCATTAATAGCAGCACAATACTCATATTATTACTGCTATTGGTATTGTTGCTCCTGTTGCTGTCTATATTCCAAGCAGAGCTGTGGAGACCCAGAAGACACAATCTTCCCTCCACACAGCCAGCTTCTTCCCGGGAGGGGCAGAAGTTCTGGCTGGTATGTGCTCACTCTGTGCCTTGGTTTACCTTCCCTGCTGTGGCCCAGGTAGGGCTGTTGTGAGAGTAATGATCTACAGCAATGGCCAGGTGGCTGTGAGGGTGAGACTGGAATCCTCCTCCCTGGGCCCCACTGTTGCCTGCTGCCCTGGGGTTCACGCCTCATGCCCATCCTTCACTCCCTCCTGCTGCAGGAGTTCCAGGACCACATGGCTGGGGCCCAGCACCAGCAGCGGCTCGGGGAGATCCAGCACATGAGTCAAGCCTGCCTCCTGTCCCTGCTGCCTGTGCCCCGGGATGTCCTGGAGAGAGAGGAGGAGTGAGTGGGGGGGGGGGTCTCAGAGGCTCAGTGCTGGGGAGTGGGCAGTCTTATGGGGTGGGCAAGGCTTAGATCTCCAGAGAGGCTCTGAATCTACCATCTGCAAGATCTGCCTTTGGACTAAGCATTTCCCTCCCCTGGAGTCCTCTTCACACTATTAACAGTGTGACCTTGGACCTCAGTTTTCCCCATCTGTAACATGGCCTGGTGGTGGGTATAGTATTGGAATTCATGAATTAGATAGTTCTTCTGGTCCCATCCAGGCAGGAACAATGTGACAAACCACATGGGAGGGAGGCAGGCTGTGGCACAGATCCCTGCTCCCTTGCATATATGCTCACCCCAACCGTGGAGCATGATGGTGAGGACCAGGTCACCCTGTTGAACAAGATTAGCACTTCCCCACCTCTCCCTGCATCACTGACATGGGGGTTCAGCCAATCAGAAATGTCACCTCTCATGTGAGAAGGCCTATGGGAAGCTGGAGGACCTTCCCCAACCCTGTGGGTAGTCACAGAGGCCTGTAGGGGTTGAGAGGCATCGTCAGTGAGAGAAGTGGACATCGTTGGCACAGGCCACCTGGGGGCATGGACTCTATGTCACGGGACAGCTGCCCCTCATCTCCTAGTTTTTCAGAAAGATCCAGAAACCCAGATTTATATGTGAAATCTCCCAGTTTCAAAATGTTAACAGCTAGTTCAGAATTAACGCAAAACAACCACTATGAAGATGAAATCAAACCCATCCCCCGGCTGGATAGGCCCTTGAGTCAGTGGTCAGGGACGGGGCTGTGAGAGTTTATAGGGGTCACAGCTTGAAGCTCCCCAAATGGGGATGAGGGGACAGGAGGGGCTCTTGGTAGGCCTCTGAGAAACATCTCTGTTTGCACACCTCCTGTGACAGGGAGATCTCTCTCTCCACGGGCAGCCTGTGTCTCTGTTAGCCCACTCTCACTGAGAGAAGAGTTCCCTTATGTGGTTTTGCAGTGTGTTCTCAAGCCTTAAGCCTTCCCTTGCCTGCTGACCCAGGACTTATACTTAAGTGAAAGAATCGTAAACATATGAGAAATTTGATCACAAAGATGGTCCTTGCAGGATTAATATAATGGTGAAAATAATTTAATTGAAAATTATCTAAAATATCCAAAACTGGGGGATTGGTTAGACCAGTTAAGGCCTGTCCACTTAGGGAAACAACCAATAAATAGAACAATTATGGGAATACAGAATGATATGGAAATAAGTATGATGCAATGTCAAGTTAAAACAGGATTCAGAACTGCATGTTGCAATTGACTATGTCAGAAGAAAACTGGAAGGATATAACCCAGGCTGTTAACAAGTTTGGGGGAGAGGGTTTGGGGTGGGGAGTAAAAATTGATCCTTCAGACAGGCTGCCTGTCTTTCCTTCATCCAACACAGTCAGAAACCCTGGGCTGACCCCATACCAGGCCCTGGGGAATCTGGGATGGAGTCCTGGCCTTCCAGAGCTCACAATCCAATGGGGGTGGAGAAGGGATCAGGTCTTCCCAATCCGTCATGGAAAATACTATGGCAGTGGCACTTTGGGACCCAGAGAGGTGGAGCCTGGTTTACTGGGATGGGGAGTGGTCCAGGAATGGGGGCCTGTACAAGACAAGCTTCGTGAAGGATAAGGCAGTTAAACTGAAGGAAAAGTCGTTTTCAAGGCCGTGGTTTCTCAGTTGCATCATCATCTTGGTGTCTCCTTGGGCATGCCACCAGTGTCAGGATCGTGTATCTGTCAGTGCCCAGCTGCATTAAAGTATTCACAACAAATGGTAAAACAAAATATCCCTCCTGCAGTGCGGCATCAGAACTTGCCTAGATTCCCAAGGAATAAGAATCAGAATCAGCACAAAGCTGGTTCCTGTGAGGTGGAGATCAGACATACCTCCACTCTCCAACTTCTTCACCATTTCTGACATCAGCCTGTCGCCTCACGGCACTCTTTACTTCTCTGTTGGGCTCAGGAATTCATTGCTGTGGCCACACAGAACTCACAGACTATACTCACAGTTGTGTGATTTATTAAGGAAGCAACAGGCTACAACCTGGGATCAGGATCAACTTGAAAGTAACAGAAAACAACTCAGGATCAGGATCAGGATGAACACAGACAAGGTCTGGAAGTCTCCCCTGAGGTGGAGAGCATATCCCTCCCTTCTTGAGTGCAGGACATCTCTCTTAGGACCTTCTCTTGGCCGTGCAAGCAGGCAGGCCCTTCTCTTGGCTGTGCACACTCCCTGTCAGCCATGTACATCCCCTCTCGGCTGTGCAGGCCTTTCTGCCTTCGGCCTCCTCACCATTGGCCTTTCTGCTGCTAGCTGGCCCAGCTCATAGCCTGTGTAGCAGCTTGCTCAGCTGCTGTTCTCCTAGCAGCAGCTTTCTGCCATCATCACCGGCTCTGCCACGGGGCCCTTTCTGGGCCCGTCACTGCTGGCTATGCCACAGGGCCCCTTCTGGGCCTCTTGCCAACTTCAGTGTTATAGCCCTTGACCCATATTACAGCTCTTTTATGAGGTTCCTTGCCTCCTCTCTCTCTGCTGCTTCTCTCTCCTCTCCTTGCTGCTGCTTTGTTCTCTGAAAAGCCTCTGTAGGGTTGGCCACTTGTATAAGCAAACTCCTTGTCAATTTTGAGGAATGGCCCTCACAGGAGGATTGCGAATTTACCAATCCCCACAAGTCACTCAATCCTATTGGGTGGATTTTCAGGCCACTATTTGCATATCAAATGGACCAGTCCCTGCAAGGTGCATAAAATAGACCAGTCATAGCCCAGGGCCAGATAAAAAGTATCAAACCATCAAATTGGTGATAGCTTACCCAGTAAATGTCATTCAACCCAGGACAAAAGTAACAAACTCTTTGGGATAGGAAACAACCTAGGAGTCCCCTCTTCCAAATTGCTTCTTCAGAGAACAAGGGCAAAGGTAACTCCTCAGGGTATAAGGAGAAAATCTCTCAAGCTGTTTTTCCAGAGAACCAAGGCAAAAGGCCACATAAAGGAATTTGTTTCACCACACCTCCAATTCCAATCTGTGACTGCCCCATTTTGATCTCCAACATGTGGATATCAGTACTGTCCTCCTGTATCAGATGGGTCCTTTGCAGTTGTAAGTAACAGAAACCCAACTCAAATTAGCTTGAGCAAAAAGGGGCAATGTTTTTGACTTTTGAAATTGGGAAAGTGAGGGATACAGCTGGAAATTGCTACTCAAATGATGTCCAGGGGACATCATCTCTTAGAGAGGTCCATTTCTCTGCACAGTGGACACTGCTACCCCAGCCTGTGTGCATAGTGACCCCAGAGGAAAGGCAGTCACCCACATCTGCACTAGTGAATGGTTTCTAGGGAAGATGCTCTATGGTCCAGTTGTGGTCATGTGATAATTTCTGAACCAATCCCATGGCTAGGGATGGTGTGTTCTGATTGGCCAGGCCTGGGTCATGTGCCTGCCTCTAGGTGGGTAGGGCCAGCTTACTCAGTCACAAGGAATGAGTTTCCCCCATGGGAATCAAGCACTGGGTTCCCAGATGTGGGAATGGAGTGCTGACCTTAGAACTGAGCCCAGCACCCTAGCCAGTGGGGGTGACTGTTCCCTTCCTTCTCACTGCCCAGACAGTGGGCACCATGGTCCAAGCCTTTGCCTGCCTTGGCCATTTCTAAGAGGCCTCAGGCACAGTACTGGCACAGGTTGCTGCCTGTTTGATTACCAGGTCCACTTCCCCACTCACTTTCTTCATAATCCAGTAAATGGGCTTTCTGATTGCAAAGATTTTAAAATGCACATTAAAAAATTCAAACTTTACAAAGTTTGGTTATGGTTAAAAGCAAAATTCCACAGTAATGACTCCCTCCAGAGTGAGCGGCTGGTTCCATAGATCGCTCTGGGCTTGTTCACAGCAGTGTCACAGGCTTCACTGAGAACTGTCAGTCCCTGAAACAGTGGTGTGACTAGGGTTGGTGTCACCCACCGCATGGACCTCCTGCTGTACCAAACTGTACAGAATCCTCAGTAATGTTTTTTGTGCTAATGTTACTCGTAAATTGTAATTCCTGTATGTCACTCCTTTTTTTCCTTTAATTACCACTTCATTCTTAAAAAAAACAAAAAGTTACTGATACAGATTCACAAATACTAATTACCACAACATTGTAGCTAAAACACCAGAAAATTTGAAAAAATCAGCAACTGTAAAAATATTGGCAGCAACGAAAACAACAGGGCGTGCTTCTAGCACATGCGGACGAAGCCACGTGATTTGAAACGTTATTGTAATGGGGTAGTAATGACAGCTCTGACTGGAGGGCATTAGAAGGTTCAAAAAGTAAATTGGCATAGAGTTTTAGCCCTGTAGGTATATTGATTCATGTAAGCTGGGTTTATGAAAAACGTTTTTGTTGTCATAACTAACTACACATGTATTTTTATAAAAAATAATAAATTTCTGCTGAAACACTGCACCAAAATTTTATAGACAGTCATTTTGGTGTCACCCCCCGACAGTGTCATTTGGTATGGTCTGCACCTCCTACACCTCCCTAGTGATGCCACAGCCCTGAAAG